TTAAAAGAAAACCGGGTGGCTTTATCCACCTGGCGCGCACTGTAGCTTGTATGCCGACTTACGACGTGAGCCAGTCAAGAGCCCATCACAAAGCGCCAAGATCGCCAGTGCGACGAGCAATTGAAGAGGCATTTTGACGTCTGACGTTTTTTGTTTCTACGCTACCTTGATGTGCCGGTCAAAACTGCGAGTTCGGACAGTTGTGCAGGTGAATTCCAATTGAAACGAAAACGGTTAAAACAAAACGTGGTGGTCACACTATTTCAGAGCAATTTCATGTCCCAAAATACTATGCGCGTGTATTTTTGAATTTGTAAGCAGAGTCGATTTTTTCCCAATCAGATGACGGCCTGCATAATCTCGTACCTCTGTGAGTCCAGGTAGGCGCAGCTCACCTCTACGCGCTGCGTCGCCCTCATACGTACACACAGCACGGACAGTCTACTTGCCATCGCTGCCGTTTGCCTCGCGTGGTGGGTGTCTTGACGTGACCACGATGGAACTGCGAGAGTCACATCGTGCATTCGGATTGGCTGAAAATCAGTGTGATTTCGGGTTTATTTAAATTTTCATATTTTCAACATGTTGATCGTTCCTCTGCAGGTCAGAAAACCACGGTCATAAAAAGTCGCGTGGAGGAAATAGTGTGGAAAAGGCAGTCGGAGCGATGCCGACCGCCGTGGAAGTTTGGACCGCCGCGCAGTTGACGCACTTGGGCGTCGACAGCGTGTTTGCTCCGTACGTCCTTGGGATGCTTTGCATGGAGGACGGCCCCACCTTGACTGAAGACGACGAAGTCGAAGACGCGAAGCGGCAGGAAGTGCTCGACTTGTTGATGGGCTGGCTCGACGACTCGCACCAGGTCCGTCCCGATGACAGCATACACTTGATGGACCCGACATGACTGTAGACCCAAGTGGAGAACTTTGTGGATGAACTTATCTTGTACGTGAAGAATCCCTCGCAGCTCGAACTCTTGCACGAGGCAGCGTCCGTGGCAGACAATGCTGACGCGACCGCCGACGAGGAAGAGCTTGCCCAACTCGATGCGACAGCATCGACGTTCGTGCCTGTGCCGCGGGTACATTCGGTCGGCCTTTTCCACGCTTGATGTTGCCATGTGCTGCAGGACGAACCACCGGCAATTGCCGACCATCCTGGCGCGTATGACGTCGACGTCGACAATGAAGATGCGTTCTACTGGTCCGTGGCATATGAGGTATGTGCATTTTGTTGGGTCTCGACGAAACCTGGTCGTTGCTCTAGCTTGTCGAGCAATTGCTGCTCGAGTTTCCAGCCATGGACCCCGAACGGTTGCTGGATCTCCTCAAGGAAGTGGACTTGAATGTTCATCGCGCGCAGGTGCGTGCGTACGGCGTCGCTAATGGTGCCTCGTTTGGTCATGGCGCCCATCTCGTCAGGCCACGATGCAAGGCATCATCGACTCCGAGATGACCAAAGGCAACAACGCCCAAGTATGTCGGCATTACCTTCAAGGCGACTGCCGTCGCGCCGACTGCTGGGCACGTTTTCCCCCTTTGCCTTGACGTAGTTACCCGTGTGCCTAGTTTCTTCACGACACGCACCTGATCCCATGCCGGTACTGGATCCGCGGCGGGTGCTTGCAAGGGGACGAGTGTGCATTTGCCCACTCGTTTGCCGTCGCAATGTCGCAGTACTCGTCGTGTGCGTCTGCCGCCAACGACGTAGAAGAGAGCGACGAGCCGCTCGAGTGGAACTTTCCAGCGCTACAAGGGGGTACATCCCATGCCACGAATGCCACCGACGCCAAGCTGTCGCTCGATTTCAAGCGCGCCGTCGCCATGGCCCCCGCGCCGCCGTCGTACGCAAGCAATTCGTGGTTTGGTGCCACCACGTCGTCCGGGGTACATGAACGGCAGGGGTTGTTGCAGCCTGACCATGTTGGTGCTTTCGTCTAGACGACCAAACGACCGACATCAAAAATGGTGGGGAAATCCAACATGTCCATCTCGCAATGGGTGGAAACCGGGGACCAAGTCGCGGCGCAGTACCAAAAGGCCCGCGCGACGGCCCGGGACTTGGCCCTCGCGCGCAACCAGTGCTTTATGAACGCCACGCGGGCATTTCGCGCCAACAACAAAGCTGCCGCCAAGAGTTTGTCTCGGCAAGGCCAGCAATTCAACGACGAGATGAAACAGGCACATTTTGAAGCCGCCACCCTCATCTTCAATGCACGGAACCCCCACTACGAAGTCGACGGCATCGTCGACCTTCATGGGCTCCACGTTGCCGAAGCAGTCGAATTGCTCGCGTGGCTCCTCCCCAGCATCAAGACCCGCGATTCCATCTGCGTCGTCACCGGGTCCGGGCATCACTCGCATCACCAACGTCTGCGACCGGCAGTCGAACGATTCTTGACCTCCGAAGGGTACCCATACACAGTCGTCCCCGATCGAAAAGGATTTGTCGGCATGCTCAATGTATCTTTGACGTGGTGACAGTCGTGCAATCGAGTTTGTTCATCGAACGATGTCGCCGTCAATGTCAGCGCACATCTGGACCGATAAAACGCTGCAGGTCATGGACGCGTCCGTGGAGAAGTGCTGCATCCTTCCTCATCAACCCCACTCGTCGTCTCGATCTCAACTCTCCAGCAGCACCGACTTCAATTATACCTCCATTCATTGCCAGCTCTCCAGCAGCACCGACTTCAATTATACCTCCATTCATTGCCCCCAAGTACAAGAATCCCGAACATTGCAGCATCGAGGCAGACATGAGTCGATGGACATGGACCAGTCGACGGCCTCGATCCAGTAGATGTCACCACCCCGACGTACTCAAGGATCTCCGTTTGCGTGATGGATTACCCTTGTACACGCATGCGTAGCGTCATGCCTGGAGGCAGTCCGTTGGGGTTGACAGCGGAGCTGGCCGTGCCTCTGGCGGATTGTCATCGCGCGAGAATGTCGTCTCTTTCATTGGCTAAAAATTAACCAATACAAATGCGTTTCTGCCTTTTCGACCAGTCCACGACAGTAAAGCATGTACTAGTATGCACTACTTTTGTCAATATATTTTTGCAAAGGCCACTACAATGACCTATTGATTGGCTATAAAGAGGACAATGCTAAAACGTTTGTACTTTTTATTGGCTAAAAAGATGACAATGAATTATCGTTTCTAATAATTTTAACGAATCAAAAACTACGTGTCAATGCGCACTCGCATAATTTGCCATGGCACAGTGGCTGCAGAACGCCCTGGCGGATGCGCTGGGGTTCTCGGAGACGCAGGACATCGCGGCATTCATAGACTCGATCGAGTCCAAGGACGGTATCTATGAGGCCGTCGTGCAAATGATCGGCGAAGAAAAGAGCGCCACGGCGCATACCATTGCTGCTCGACTTGTCGACGAACGGTGGCGGACAAGAAGAGAAAGCGATGCCTCCTCGCCCGCTGAAATCGCCAAGCCCAAACCCCGCCCGCCCCATGCAAGCCCCATTACAAATTGCTTGGAATGTGGCTTTATTGAATACCACGGCGCCGCTGCCTGTGCCTCGTGTGGCGCATGCCTCCATTACGTGGACGAACGACCGGACGCCCACGATGCCCGCGCACATCGCGATCGGCTTCTCGCAAACGACGCATCCCTTTCCCAACGAACAGTACGTGTTCATCCATTACACTGGTCTTATCCAGCGGGCGTCGTCCTGCAGGTTGTACATGACATGAATGCTCATTTCGATGCGGACAAGCTCGCACGCGACGACGCGGCTGCGGTTGCATCAGCCATGACAATTCACATCGACTTGGTCAATCGATCCATTGAAGCGGCGCCAATGGCATCTGATCAAGCAGACATGATGGCAAGCCTCGTGCATCACTTAGAGCGCGACGTGCACAAGGTGGCCAAGCGCGCGCCACCTCCGCTAGCACATGCTGCCACGGTGGAAGACTTTGACGAAATCGCCACAGAGTATGTGTAAGCAGCGTTCTCCGTTGATGCTGGCCGCGCCAAGGCAATTCATTGGCGCTACTCGTATATTAGACTTGCCACCGTCCTGTGTGTACTATTGCTGCTTGGCCAGTTTGCGATGCAATGCATCCAAAATCTTCTTGATGCGATCCAGCATCACTTGGTCCGACGAGGAGCAATTCTTGCTGTCATACGGAGGGTGGATGACGACTTCCATGACGCGGATGTGTTGGCCTTCCCAGTGACAGGGCATCGTTTTGCTCAGCGCGTCGAAGATAGACTGGCCGAACGGGGACACGTTCTTTCCAATGGAGGCGAGGGCTTTTTCAGCCAACTCGCGGCTCTGCAACTCCAGTTTTTGCAGCTTGTCCTCAGAAACAGCGCACGGCGGGCCAGATGACCGAGCCGTGAGCGACGATTCCCACGAATCTTCGTCTTTCTCGATAATCTCGACGCTCTGGACTGATGCGATGTTCAAGAGTTGAGTCGAGTCCACACTCTTGACGACCAGAAAGCCAGACACAGGATCCAACGTATACACGCTGCCTTCAATCAGGGGGGCATCATCGAATAACTTGACACGGATCCAAGTGTCCAGCGCCACATTTCGGCCTTCCACGCCATTTCCGTTCTGCACAGGCAGTTCCACCAGCACCTCGTCCGCCATGATGCAAATTCCTGGCGACAAGTCCTGACCTTCATATCATTGTACGATAAATTATGCATTTACACAGTTTAAACCTTTTCATGTGCACGTTGAATGACAACGTGCTCCTCATTGGACTTCATTGCCCAGTAGGGTAGTTTAACCTTCAGTTAAACACATGGATTGGTCAAGTATTAAGGTGACAAATCTCGCGTTTACACATCCGTCGCCAAAACGGTTAAACGATCGCCAGAAAGGGTTTCCACGATGTACGAAAGCGGCGGCAATGCGGACAGCTCCTCGACAGAGCCGATGCGGATTGCCATGTGCTGCGACTTCTTCTACCCTCGCCTTGGTGGTGTGGAGATGCACATCTGGAGTTTGTCGCAGTGTCTCCTCCGCCGAGGCCACAAAGTGATTGTGATCACGCATCAGACGGACGGCCCCGACAAGCGCCAAGGTATTCGGTACATGACGAACAATTTGAAAGTGTACTACCTTCCGCTGGTGCCCATGGTCGACAACGTGACGTTGCCGACGTTCACGGCGGGGTTTGGTCTCTTTCGCACTGTGTTGATACGCGAACGCATCCAGATCGTGCACGGCCATCAGGCCACGTCCGCCTTCATGCACGAATGCATCTTGCAAGCCAAGACGATGGGGTACAAGGCGATCTACACCGACCATTCGCTCTTTGGGTTTGCCGACGCAGCGTCCATACACCTCAACAAGGTATCATGCACCTTCTCCACACGTCATGTCATCGCCACGGCGTCCAGGTGATGAAGTTTACGCTGTCCGACATCGACCACGCCATATGCGTGTCCCACACGTGCAAAGAAAATCTCGTGCTTCGCGCGTCGTTGGACCCGTCCATCGTGTCGACGATCCCAAACGCCGTCGATGCCTCCAAGTTCACACCATCCACGACGTCCGCCACGACGCCGTCACCGCCGCTCGACCCCCTTCGCGATCCCATCACTGTCGTCATTATCTCGCGACTCGTGTACCGCAAAGGTATCGACCTTGTTGGCAAGGTACGCGAGCTCTCCATGACGATTCGAGTGTCCGATGGGCGGCCTCCCAACACGTGGATGCTGCTGCTGCATGTGGCTCGTGTGTAGACGATTGAGCTAGTGTGCGCCCGGTGTCCCAACGTCAAATTTCTCATTGGCGGCGATGGCAACAAGCGCCTCCTCCTCGAGGAAATGCGGGAAAAGTGCCAGCTCCATGACCGCGTGACGCTGTGGGGCGCCGTTCCGCACGAGCAGGTCCGACACGTGCTCAATCAAGGCCACATATTCCTCAACTCGTCCTTGACCGAGTCGTTTTGCATTGCGATTCTCGAAGCGGCGGCGTGCGGGCTCTTTGTCGTGAGTACACGTGTCGGTGGCGTGCCCGAGGTCCTCCCGCCCGACATGATTCGATTCTCCAAAGACATTACGCCCGAGGACTTGGCCGACGCCGTCGTCGAGTCGATTCCGCTCCTCGCCAAGGTCATCTGCACGTGCATGCCGACGTGGTCTAATGGACGGGAATGTAGGTTGACAAGCAAAATTTTCACAACCGGGTCGAAAAAATGTACAATTGGTACGACGTCGCCGAGCGGACCGAGCGCGTGTACCGCAACGTGGTTCAGCTCCCGACGCCTCCGCTCATCCATAGGTACCCCATCGCAGTGTTTTACCGCGTGCGGCGAGCGATCGTGGTGCTGATCGTAGGTTTCGAAAGTACTACGGGATGGGACCCGTCGCCGGCATCCTCGGATGTACCATCGCCGCGTGTTTGTTTTTGTATTTGCAATATCTCGAGTGGCTCAAGCCGTCGACCGACATTGAAGTCGCGCTCGACATTCCGTCAACCGACTGGACCGACCGAGAACGCCGCCACCATCCCAAGACGTCGACACTCCACGAGACCAAGCACGCCGTTGTCGAGACTTCCCAACGGTAGCATGCGTGCTACCTTGCAAGCGCCACGCAGAAATCGACCACGCCGCGCCAAATTCATCCATCTCGCTTCGTTCAACGAATCGCCATGCCAACATGTACAACACAGCTTGCTTGAAAACGGATTCCATGATGGATATTGAGCAGCAATTCGACCGGACAGGGTGGTCCGTCTAGGCCGCGATCGCGCGCAATGCCGTGCCTGCAACGATCATCGCCGTGCCAATGGCCATGATGGTCATATTCCGCTTCCCTTCAATTTCCTTGAAGTAGATTGCGCTCCAGAGCATCGACACCATCGCGGGCCCGATCGACGTCAGAGGGTAGACCATGTCAAACCCGAGGTTGCCTGCACTCAGGAGCTGACCGGCCAGGCCCATGGCCCACAGCAGCCCTACGAACACCATCGTGTCGAGCCCGACGATGACACACCTCAGCGCGTACCAGAGACATAGGCGGGGCGCATCGCACTGCGCGGCATGCTTCGCTTGTGGTAGCGGAAGAACGACGCATAGATCAAAAAGCACACGGTCGACGTGACGTATATGCCCATGCATTGAGAAAACAAAAAGTTGAGTGGGTTGCAGCCCCCGACGGCCGTGCAGCTCTGTTGCCAGAGCACGTACGGCGTGAGGCAGTTGCCGAGAATGCAGCCGAGGAAGAGAGCCAACCCAACGCCAATGTACTTGCGTTTTCGTTCGTCGGCGGCATTTGCGATCGCGACATGCTCGTGGACTTCGGCAGGCAGCGAGAACGGTCCTACCAAATGACATCACGCATGCGTGGTTCATGTTGGGGGTGTACCATAGTTGGGCAGTTCAGGATGGATCAACGACTCGGCCAAGTTTTCCTTGGACATGGCGCTCAAATCCAGGTCGAGAATTGAATCGGAGCTTGAGGTATAGTCCTTTTGCATGAGCGGAGTCGATTCGTCCACAGTCGCCACGTCAACAAGCGGATCGGCGGGTGGACGATGTGGAGATGGCGATGCATGGCTTGCCAGCTTTGGCTGGACCATGCCGTAGACCACGATTGACGCAAGCATGAACAAGATGCCAAGTGCACTAAGCCATGGATGGGATGGAATCGTCGGGTGTACACCAAAGAGGCCTGGCCCAACGCATCAGTTCCATTGCGAAGATGACAACTACAGGGTTTGACGGCGCACCAAAGCGAGAGACGAGGTAGCCCATCGTGATGTTCGCGCCATTCCACAGCATAAAACCGACTCCGAGCCCAAGGGTGTTAACGACCGTCGGGATCAACACATTCGCCAGGGCAAACAAGCATCCTCCGAGAAGCCCTTGGGGAAACATGTACATTCCTACTCCGGCATGTACTTTGAAGATGGAGAATCCGTCGATCGAGATGGCAAAGACGAATCACATACCTTGCTCGGCGAAGTGATCCCATTGATTGCTGACGAGGCCCCAAAACAACCCAACGGCCAAGATCCCCGAACACTACACATCACTCTCAAGCGCCGCTGCAACGGGAAGACGCGAGGGAAGGGCGCACCATATACCACTGGAACACCATGCCGTCGTACGTCGGGAACTGCTTGGCGGGGACGTACGTCGTCCCGAAGAAGACGACGGACATCATGATCCCAATGTACCCGAGCACCGCGCTTGTCATGGTTCACGAAAAAGATCTAGTTGAAGCAACTGGTTCGTCGCGCCGATCCGAATACTGTATCCGAAAGAGCTCGAGGCTTCGATATTTTAATGCCGTTGGTCAATTCCAAATACAATTCACCGATACATATCTTGTTTTAATAGAACTCCCGTCGACATTTATTGTCGTTTCCCAAATTCATATACTCACATCAAGATGAACTGGTATAAAAATGGTGCTTCGTGTTTGATTGGATACCATATCCGGATAGTTCAACTCACCTGATGATTGGCCAGATTGCGTGTTCCGGATAAGCTTGAATTGATGCACGAGCAGCGGCAACTTGAAGGCCGCGGCCATGGCGCAGTCGCCACCAAAGCCATTCGAGCAGGAACATGCTTCCTGCGATGCGATCCCGTCGCCGCATTACCTCTCGACATGTCGAAAACTTGCGCTACATGCTTTTCCCCTGGCACCAGGCGATGTGGTCTATGCAAAACCTTGCATTACTGCAGCCGACCGTGCCAGTTAGCCGACTGGGCAGTGCATGCTGCCGAGTGTACGTATCTTTCGAAGCATCTGCATTCGAATCCGATGACTCCAACACTCCTTCTGGCAATTCGCATCCTTCGGTCGGAAGCGTCCATGGCTGCCGTCGAGCATTTGGTGTCCAACTTGGATGCCCACGAACAGTCCAAACTTGACGATTACCGAGACATGGGCATGCTGGTGCTGTCGTTCATGACTCGCATGAAGCTCAAGGCCGCGTTACCGACATTGGACCGAGTCGTGACGCTGTTTGGTCAATTCAATTGCAACGCATTCACGGTGTGCACGCCCGAGCAAGTGCCCGTGGGAATCGGCGTGTTCCCAGACGCGGCCTTACTCAACCATTCGTGCGCGCCCAATTGCATCCTGGCCTTCGACAAGCGTCAGTTGGCCATACGAACGATCCGAGATGTCTCGATCGGGGAAGAGCTCACGGTACGCTCAGTACAGTGTTGTTCGTGAAGGTTGAGGACCCGTTCGAATCGCGGTAGATCTCGTATATCGAGCTCATGACGTGTCGGTCGGAGCGCCAAGCAGAGCTCGAAGCTTCGTACTTTTTCACTTGCTCGTGCATCCGGTGCAGCGTACGGCAATTTTCGTCCTCCAACCATCGATTGTGATGCCTCTTGCAGACGCCAGAGGACGCCGCAACGTCCGAGCTGCGGCACCCGTTGACCGACCCGACGTGCGAGTCAGAGGAACCGTCCCATGGAGACGCTCTGTTGGGCGACATACTCCGGCTGGAAGCAAAGGCCGACGCGTTGGAAGCGTCGCACGATACACGCGCCGCTGTGGACTGCCGTCTTGACGCCGTCGAGATCGCTCGGGTAGTCTGGCTTCACCGACTGACGTGACTTGACCTTGATGCCATGTGAACGAGGGCAGGAACTGTATGGCCCACGGCACGCGACCGTCACCCGGACCCTTGAAACCCTGGCCAACATCATCACTGGCACGGAGGTACTGTTTTTTCGCCGCGCACACAGGATAAACTGTACATGATTCGAATCGATTGTCCATCCAGCACGCCGCGGTTGCGACCGCGTCCGATATAGCCCACGCGCGCACAGCGTATGAATCCGCTCTTGCCAACCAGACCCACTTGTACAAGCGATTCAACATGGAAGCGTTCCAGGGCTTGTGCTACTTAAAGTACGCCCGCCTCTTGGTCACGCACTTCGGTTCTGGAACGAATTCGTCGGAAGAGGCCGTCGCCGCCCTGCGCACCGCGTGCCGCTTGTACGTCCATGCACATCTTCTCCACTTGTTGGACCTGACACGGTGATTGAGCAGGTTGACGCTGTCGCATGGACAAGATGCCCCGCTCGTCAAGGATGCCATTGAATTGCTTCATGACACACAGCGACAGACGATGGACTGGTCCCGATAGGTTTGCGCCACCTCCCCATGCTTCGGCACTCGTCCGTCTCCGCAGCGGACGCTCTGTTGCCCCGAGTCTTCTTCCCCGCGCTCAATCGGTGTGGTTTATCCGCACTCGATGAACGTCCCCTTGGCGACCTGTGGACTCCACCATGCATGGCAGCAAAATGAATAGAACAAATGAGGTCCTGGCGTTTGAGCTCGATGCCCCTGGATGCGGATTGAGCACGGCCCTCTGGCCTGGAATCCATCAGTTGCACATGACGACGTCGTCCGTCCCCGCCAACGAGGCAACTGTCTATGCCAGTGCGACAGCATCTTCTCGTGTGCTACTTGCGACGGGCAGCACCTTTGCGACCCCCCCGCGTGCATGGCTTGCAGGAAAACCCGGCATCGATCTCATCCACTTCGACCGAACCTCGCCTCGTTGAGTAGTCACCAGAGCCTTCCTCCATCCGAGCCCTGCCATGCACCGCTTCCATCCCCTCGCAGTGTCCTCCATCATCTTCCGAGCCAGGGTAAACACAATGCACGCCAATAGTTAATAAAATGGAGTCGACGCGGGAGGCATCATCGTCGACGACGCCGCGCGCCGACGGCCAGACAGTTCTTGTACAAATGCAGCCGATTCCTGCGACGCCTGGCGTTGTCGCAGCTCTCCAAATCCACGCGTACCTATGCGCCACATTTGTCAGCACCACTCCACCAATTCAATGGGGCATACCATCGGGACCGATTGCTTGGCGGAACAGGTCTGCCGTAGACACAGTCGAGTTGGACGACGTGCTGCGGTAGGTGGCTTCGGGACTCTTGAGCGGCAGGCGTGGGCGCGGCTGGTTGTTGTGCCCCGTCGAGATGGACCGGCCGCGGGTCAGCGACGGCGTCGCCGCATCCACAGTCTGGGCACGGTTGCGACTCGCGGGGATTTCGTACCGGCCGCTGCTGTTGCTATTGCCGCGTTCGCGGTGGCTGTCTTGCTGGAGGCTGCCGCCCCAGGCAGGGAGGTTGGTTGGCGGGCGAAACTCGAGCTTGACCTTGGACGCGTACTTGCGGCCCGATTTTTTGTTCTTGCCCACCGTGAAGCTGACATAGTCACCCTGGCGAATATCAATCACGCCGTCGTCGTCTGGCACAAGCCGAAACGAGATGGACGAGCCATCCTGGCGCGTCGGCGTGATGAGTCCGCCCGCGCCGCGGATCGAAAAGACCGTCCCCGTGCTCACTTTGCCCTCCGTCAAGTCGTTCAGGCCTTCGCCAACAGCGTCCACGTGCACCGGCGTCGGCACAGGCGCCGACCCAGACGACGACGCCGATCGCGACGACATGGGCGCGTGCATGAATGCGGCGGCGGCCGACTTGGCCCGGCCGCGGCGCTGGTCCATATCGACGGGAAACATGCGCTGCTTGAGCTTGTCGACGGTTGTCCCGTCAAACAACACAACTTGCATGCCCGTGCGCCAGTTGTACTGGTCCGATAACGTCAGCACGGCATGGTTTGTCATATCGGGGTCTTCAAACTCAATGATGGCGTACCTACCCAACGCGAGAAAACACGTCATCGTGACATCTCAAACACACACGCGTTCGTACGTTTCACCAGCAGCAATTGGCGGCTTGAGCACGGCATTGCGCCCCGTGACCCCGTTCTTCTTGAGCAGGCGCAAGTACGAAATCTCGCCACACGTGCGGAATGTTTCCTTGAGCGACGCGATCGATGCGTCCTCTGCCAAGTTGTACGCAATCGCCGTCCGCGCGAGCTTGCCGTGGTACGTCTGGTCATACGGGAGCGGGTCTTTGCGGCACACCGACAACGAGTCTTCACTGAGAAGCAACTTGGTCGACAATTCCAAAGACTGCTTGAGGAGGTCGAGGTCCGTCGTGAGTTTCTTGACGCGGCCAAACGTTGCCAAGAGCTCGAGTTTCACTGGGGATTCGCAACAATGAGAGGCATTGTCTCAGTCACGGGGAGCTTACCGTATCCATCGGCGTTCATGTTTTTGAGGAGGAAGAGATCGCCCAAGAGGTTGTCGTCGCAAAAGTAAAATTCAAGTTGGTCGCAAATCGTTTTGAGAAAGGTGGCGGGAAGGACGGTCGGCGACGATGACAGTGGTGGCGACACTGAACGGGGACTGCCGTTGCTTCCCGTGGGCGACGACGATGTCGCCGCAAAGTTTTGGTGGTGATGATCCAGCATGGGTTCCGCTTCAGGCTGCGATTGCTGCGCGATCGACCGGAACCCAATGGGGCCCGCGGCGTCGAGCGATAGCGTCGAAATGTCAATGTCGACCGGGCCGCTTAACGGCATCAACCCTGGAGGAGGCGCCAGCGTGCGTTGAGGCGGCGAGGAGTCCATTGAAGGGAAGGAAGTACAAGGTAAGTTGTAAAGGATGGAGGGATCAGACGGACGGAAGGTCGCCGTGGAGAAAGGTGTTGGAGCGTCGGTCTCGAAGCAAGGTGGCAGCGCGGCCACTTGGTCAGAGATTGGAGAGTAAGGTTGGCTCCTCTGGAGACGTGAAAGGGGCAAAAATCCCCGCACGATGAATTCGCCCGGCGCTCATTGGCCCTTTTACTTGGTTGATGGGGGGGCGTGGTGTTCCGTATAGGAAAGAATCCTAATTTTAGCCAAGAAGGGAAGGTAACGACAAGGTGGCACAGAACACTGTCTGTGGTGCCATCGTCGAAATCCATAGGGGAAAATATAGATGATGCTTGATCTATGTATTCCCCATGTCTTTATTTCATGCATTTGGAAAACCCAATCATCCTTCGCCCGACGTTTTCTATTTGTAAGCTACTAGTAGCTCCGCTCCCAATAAATGAATCAACTACAAATGTGGTGGAATTTGCAGAATTCTTGACGATATTATTGTCGTCTGGATTGTCCATCTCCACGGGGGAAGCGCACCACAACCGGATTCCGTCCCCGCCTCTCCCTGGGAAAATTCCCCTCATCGAGATCCCCACTTCCGCCCCATCAACGGCTCAACTTATGCGACGCCATTTTGATCCATGACGCTCCATGGCTGGTGTCAGCGCGCAAACGCGTCCACGTGAGCACGCCTCCTCCACAACACGGCACAATCCCCGTCCTGGATCTTCATGATCGGAGGCTGGCCACCTAATTCTCCCAACTTTACCGTACCACGGCTTTGGTGGACGGCCGCAACTAATGTCATTGACAAGTTTCAGTAGTTATTATGTGACTGGGGGCTGCTTCTTGGACTTGCCATGTCTTGGGTTGGATGCGCCAGTGGCGTCGACGACGGGACCGCCGCCAGCACTGCCACCTGCGTACGATGCCGTGATAAAGTCGAGGTCCACGATGCGCTCGGCGACAACTTTGAGGATCGCGGTCATGTACACCATGGTTTCGCCGGGGGTTTCCTTCACGGGAGGGATCTTTCCACTCGTGCGGCATCGGTTGTACAGGTTCTTGATGGCGAGGACGATTTGCCCCGACTCGCGGCTCCGGCCGTTCGAGACCCGGTCGTCGCGGCCACGGTCCAAGTCGAGCTGAAACGTTTCCCCGCGAATCTTCTCCAAGTGTTGCTGGTGGCTACGTCGTTTGTTCGTGACGACGCAAATCGTCCGTTCGTTCCATTCCGCGCACGTACCCGTGGATCTCGCTGTTTTGAACCAAGATTGTGTTTTCCATCTCGGTTTTGAACGTGCGCAGGTCTTGCCGCAGCTTGTCAATCTACTCGCCGGACTGTTAGCGGCGCCATGGTGCTGCCACGTCCTCCATGGACCCCCACCTGGGATTCCGCGCTTTGCACTTGCGCTTTCAGGTCGTTGTTCGCGTCAAGCAGGGTCGCGTACCGGTTTAAAATGTCTGCAATTTCCTCGTATTCCTGCTCGGATGCGTCGACGGCCGAGTCCAAGTACGTTCGGTACTTGAGGAGCTGGTCTCGCCGCTTCTCGAGCGATTCGCGGGTCGCCACGTCCTTGTCGAGCTGGAGCACGAGCTGCTTCTTTCGAACGTCGTTCTGTTCTGCCGATCGGTGCTCCGTCTTGGCTTTGAGCTCGGCCCGCGTTCGTTTCGAGTCGTTTTCTTTGATGAACTTTTCAAACTTGGCGACTTGCTCGCGCATCTCGTCCTGCTTGCGCTCGAACTCACGCTGCCGCTCCGCGCACGTTTCGACGCGCTGTGCGTATTCTTCCTTCATAAAGTCGAGCGCGTCGTTGATCTCGCGCAGCTCCTTGCGCTTCTTGAGCAGCAGCGTCGATTGCGACATCTGCACACGGACAACGACGGTGAGAGCACACCCCGGTGGATCGCCCAAACGAACGGCACGACAATGCATTCAAGGAGAGGAATCACGGGAAAACCAGGCTGAATGAGGTTGAGAACGTGGAAAAAGGCGAGACGGGGGACACTGACCAGTGACACCCCGGACACGATCGGCTCGACGTCGGCGAGCTCAGGCGTGGGGTACACATGCCGCCCGACCTTTGCCTCTGTCAGAAACACTGGTGGGCTTTGGTTGCCTCCGCTGTCCATGGTCTGGAAAGGCCTCGGGATCGCCGGCGGTGGCGCCGGGGATGGAAATAGATGTACGACGTGTGATGCCGCCGTTACCGAACGTTTCTCGAGATGACACGTGACCCGAACGGCGACGTCGCGATGGGCACCGTCCAAGGGGACTCCGCCAGGCCACAGGCGACTACGTTTTGTCGTGTGACCGATCACAGTTGATGGCATTCTCCAGGACCACAAACGCGTTGGCGGGAGGGAATAGCACACGCTTCAAAGTAACGGGACGGCTCTCCCTTGTGTGGCCGCGGAAACGCATCCCACAAGCCCCCCCCTTCCACGGACTCTAAAGGAATCCTTGACGAGAAAGCAGCGAGGGTCGCCCCCAGTTCCTCACACAGAGTCGGTTTGACGAGCGTATCACGCATCGAGACGCCCTCGTGTCGGTTCCGCATGCCCGTGAAACTGCTCTGCATTTTGCACGACATGGGACGAGATGGCGACTTGACCACGTTGCCTCGCTTGGCCGTGCAATGTGCGACGCCAGGGATTCCGACAAAGTCCAGCGAATGGCCCCAACCGGCCGGCGCAAAGTCGACGCATGTCGCTACATCAAAGCGCAGGCGGCTAAGAGCATCCTGTCCGTCGAGTGGCGCCAGTCCAAAGCTCCCGGTTCAGCTCTCGTCCCTGGACCAACGCGTGCTTGTCCTATACAATTCCAAGCGTCGGCGGCAAGCCATGGCGCTACGACAAACGGACTCGTCGCTGTCGAGTTCGCCCGCTGCATGTGCAGAAGCCCACCATGCCGCCCGGACCATTCAACGTGTTGTACGTTTTTTTCCCTGGCATGCACGACGTGGATCTGATGAGTGGGGACCAGGTCCGGGGACACCGTTGCCGCCGCGCTCTCCACGCCTTCTTTGGCCCGATTAACCAGCAGAAAGCGCTTCTCATTCAGCGCATCTTCCGAGGGCATTGCGGACGCCAGCGCATCCATCAACTGCGTGCTCGCCAAGCGTTTTTGCAGGCGAGGAAAATTCAAGCGTGGGTGCGGGGGGTGCTGACACGGTAAACCGCGACCGCAACCGACGCTGTGTCGGCATCATCTACGATAGCGATCGCCTGGCGACAGAGGTGGTATTGGACACCATCGCCAAAGTGCAGCTCCTCCAACGCGTGGTTCGGGGACACTGGGGGCGACGAAAGGCCCGCCAACGGCGGCACGACAAGCACACGGCAAGTTGTTTGACTATTCAGCGAGTGTACCGCGGCTGCCGAGGTCGGCTTGTCCATTTCGTTTCGTTGGCTAAGACTGTGGCGAAGGGCGGGCGCGCGTCAAACGAATTCGTTATGAAAACCAAGCGAATGTCAGGGCGATGGCTCGATCTACGCAACGACACGCTGTAGGGCGCGCGCGCTGTCGCCAACATGAACGTCAACGGAGAGGCGTGTGTAGGTGTGCACCCGGTGCAAGGGATGCAGTTGGGCCCATGGCACGGAACAGTCTCTCCTTGCGTGCACGCTCGTCCGGCTGCTGGGTCTATACGACCTGCCCGGCGCCGCGCAACTTGCGCAAGACGGTCTCGATCGTTTCCCCCAGTACTCGATGTTTCCCCTCGTGATGGCCATTATTCTGCAAGTGCAATGCGCCAGCGTCGAAGTTGCGATGGTGTACCTCCACAAGGCAAAAACGCTGGGGCTTGTCGACGCTGACTTGAAGCAGGTACGCCTCGCGGTTGCATGACTGGCAACGTTGTGTGGCTCTGTCGCCATCGTGTGTCGCCCATTCTCAACGCTGTCCCGCAGTGCGAGGCGCGGTCCTTTTTTGCGGCGCTGGCCTGGCAACCTGGCAACGCCTTCATGTGCGCCGCGTTTGCCATCTACTTGCAGTCGGTGGGCTTGGTCAAGCGCGCGGAATCGTTTTACAAACAAGCGTTGAATGCGAATCCGCTCGACTACCCGCTTCCCACGTATTTGGCCCGGCGCACCTTTTGCGACCACATTGTCGTCAACTTTAAGCGGTTCCTGTGTTTGTTCAAGTTGCCCCCGGCCCTGCACGTCCGCTTGACGCAGCGGGTGTTGACATTGCCCGCGGTCGGCACGAAGACGGTGCGACCGACGGGATCTTCGACGGTCACGATATCGGTGTCCCGCCTCAATCACTTTGCAGTGTTCGTGCCCGACAACGGCAGCGTGTGCAATGGATTGTACATCTCGGACGACGAGCTATCGTTCTTGCTGCACGACGCTAGTCATGGCACAGCGACCGCACACGGAGACGAGCGGCCGTCGACACACACTGCAATACGAGGTTGGTACCCATAGCAGGACGCTGTTTCACCGCACGACCGGGTTGGCGAGGTAGGTCGCCGCAAAGCATTTCTCGGCGTGCATCAGCGACGCCGAACGCGTGGGGGAAGAAGCAGCGTAGCCCCCAAGGAGCAAGCCATGCTGCACGAGGCGAAGACTACCGTTCGATTGTCCACGGAGCAAGTCGAGACGATGCTGAACCAGGTCGTGCTTGTTCCAGCTGCCGCGGCTCCTGGGTCGTACGTGCTGGTACTGTCGTTGCCGTCCCCACGTGTTTCATTTTCCGCAATTTTGTCGTGCAGTTGCTGCCCCAGCTGCAGCGGTTGCGCGACCACCAAACATCCGCCTTGATTCATTACGAAGCAGCGGTGAACATCCAGCGTGTGTATCGGGGCCACGTCGTTCGGTCCCGCCGATCGCGCGTGCTGCTCTTCGACCGCATCCGCGACGACCAAGTGTACCAGCTGCAGCAGTTGCTCCACCGGCGCAAGTTTGTCCGACACGAACGAGCCCGCGCGGCGACGACAATCCAAGCTGTCCGTCGCGGGTACGTGATGCCAACACTCGATGGATCGTACGTCTCATGTGTGCTTTAGGTGTGTGTCGCGGCGGACGCTGCAAGACATGGCCGCAGCGGCGACGAAAATCCAAAGTCTCGTGCGGCGCGAGCTGGCCAAGCGCAGAGTCGACGACATTCGCCAGGGCAACTCGCTCCAGTTTCCTGTACGTTGTCCAGGTGTCGACGTGGGCCGCCGTCAAAGTAGCAAACGATGTCATGACGTTGCTTTCTCTAGGTGCTCAGAGTGCACCATCGTGGAGTCGAGCTGCAAGGCAAGCTCCTCGTGCTAGCGATCGACCAAGTACGGAACGATGCCTCGTTGAGACCAATGCAAACGAGCACCTCATATGTGCTCTCGACGGTAGCGAGGCCTGTCGTTTCGATTCACAGCAACCGACTTTGCCGCCGCGTGTGAATACACTGGGTGCTGCCCCCGGGCACGGACACTGCAGATGCTTCGCCACTGGAACGAGCTGTACGCTGCGGCGTGCGTGGGCCGAGCTATGTACCACGTGGGCCAATATGGTAAGGTCGCGGCGATCGAGAACCCCGCAGCACCCGAGCTACGACTCGTGTGCGAATTGGACAAACACGTTGTGTCGTTATCTCTCGTGGAGACTGGGCTGGCCATACGCAGCGCCGACAAAAGTACCCTTCGTCGCAGCATGGGAGGCTGCCCCGGAGATGGTTCCTCGCGGGCAACGCCGCTACCTACGTCCCCGAGCAACACGGAGCACCCACCAATGTTCCCTCTCCCTGTCGACCCTGCCAAGTCTGACCAACTCGTGGCGGCCTTGCTGCCGCACATTGCGTTGGTACCGACGATGGCGATTCCCACCAGGCACATGCAATCCACGTCGGCTGCCATGGCGCTGGCCGTCGTGGTGCCACCGTCGACAACGCCGCTGTTTGTGCCAAGTCTAGTCCCCATGAAGTACGTCAACACTGCCGCCACCTCCGTCCCCCATCGTCGTCCGACGTGTTGGTAGGTTTTCAAAACGGACAAAGTCGCAAATCCCCCCCGTGTTGTCTCGCCAGCTTCCCAAACCGTACCAAACCAAGCTTCGAATCGACTCGTCCATGCAAACTCGTCACCGGTTCACGTCGTCCGACGTGACGCATCTGCCCCCGGCGCGACCGCCGTTCGACCCCGGGCAGCCCATCTACCGCAAGCAATGCGTCCGCCATTTCAATCGGTTCTCCACGTGCAAGTGCTTCCTGCCCATGGTGCCAACCCCCGCTCACGTCGCCGCGTTGGAAGCAGCTTTGGCCATCGCCCGCCCCGATCATGACCTCAGTCGGCACACGGTCTTGACCAACAACATCCCCAATCGTAGCCACAGGATGTGGATATATGGAAAACTGCGATGAGAAGAAAGGGGGCACCCGAACAACGCTCGCCACTGGCAGCTCCTCCACGTCGACCATTACGCCAAATCCAGCAGAGATTACCATCGAGTGCAAGTCCAGCACGCGATTTTCGAACCCAAACGTACGATGGGGCTCTCTTCGGTGGAAGTCGCAGCTTCGTGTTGACAGCATCTACACACATCCCCACCATTCCTGCCCCACACGCAACAATGGAGCAACACGACCACATCATGAGACTTGCGCGTGTTGTGAGACAACACGCAGAATCTCACTTCGTGAACGCGAAATACGATGGGTGCACGTCGCCAACAACGCAGGAATAAGCCAAGTCGTTCACAAGCGGTAGCGGCCACTTGTCTAGCAGGTGAACCCTGGGCCTGACCCTGCGGACGCTGTTGTCCTGGGAGGGGCACACAGGGATGGTTGTCAACACGTGTAGTATGGACCAGCCTCGTACCACGGGGGATATCCGTCGCGTCCCGTAGAGGTGTCGTTGGCGCGTGGCGCACATCGTCCGCCGAGCACCGCCAAAACTTCCACACCCACTTGCATTGCACGCGGCGGTGGGACAACGACGTGGGAGCGCATCCCGTCAGCAGTCGGACCAGGGAATCGAGTGGAATTCCGTTACGCAACAGGTCATTATATCGCTCCAACTATGACTATTTCGCTCAGATGTACACATCGCTTCAATAAAGTCTACTGAAGGGTACAAGAACGACAGGTGTTGGTGATTTTCGGTCATATTAATCCGCATCCATCTAAACAACAGGAAAAATGGTGAGACAGTTTTCACAACACGGCGAAGGTGGCGCTACCGAATCCTGTGTGGCGGACGACCCATGCCGTCGGGCGGACCTCTCGGCACGAATGCCGCTTCCCAGAGCGAGCAGCGTTGGCGTACACCCGCAGGTAGCAGCCAGTCCATGGTGCCAAGAACAAGTATGAGTTCAGTAAGCATACGAATTCGTCTCTGGCGCCGCTGAGCGAGTTTCAACTGGACCACCACAGAGGGGTACGTTTCTGTGTGTCACATAGAGCGACGTGGGTGCGTGGGCTCGCGGTTGCCAAGCTGGTTCGGGAACGTCGCCCGCGTCTCTTTTGGTCGCGTGCAATGGGATCGATCGTATTCGCGCGAGTGGATCAACCGCAACGGCGAGGAAAATCGCCTTGGTGCGAAGGGAAGTAAGGCTACGATCCATCTATGGACAGCTTCGGACTGAACACACGGGCCTTGCCCGACCGACGGCTGCTGCTAATTGTAAGCATGTGCGACGACCAATCCTCTAGACGAGGCGGCCAAGGCCAAGCATTACAGTGGCCGACGGAAAAATGTCGCCAGT